TACTGAAATCGAAAAAGATTACCTCGGAAACAGCGTCAGCATTAATCTTCCAGTAAAGCCAACCGATAGCTGGTCAAGAGGAATCCGCCATCGTCTTTTGGTGGAACCGACCCTCGAATCTCTTCATTCAACACTTTCACTCAAAATCGAAGTAACTCAACAATTATAAAACAAGAGATTCCTCGAAACCCAACTTTTCTTCGCATAGCAAAATAAAGGTTAATTAATTGTGTGTGATTTTCACTATAATAATTTGTATATATATGAATTTGTTCAAGGATAAATGACCAATTTGGCAGAACCACTGACCTGAAGAAAGTCGTGAAGAATATATGGAAGCTGATCGTCTAACTGACCAATATCTTTGGAAAATCTGTTCATCAATTGACCTGAAAAGAAGATGTGCATCAGAACCCAATTTCTTAGTGCTGAACATAAAAAAGATTCCTAGAAGATCGGGCTTTTTGCACCTTCTTTAGTAAATAATTAGGTTCAGATATGGAAATGCATGAAAAAAATTACAAAGCCAAAAAAATATTTTGCTGATATATTTAGGCCAGCGTAAATAAAGCCAATAATTCTAAAGTTAATTTATGAATTATCGTTCAGAATCATTTCAATCTAGTTCGAAGAAGTGCAATAAGAATATTCAATAATTAAGACCACTTAAAAGCATATATTAAGTAAACTTAAATGTTTTTCAAAAATATTGTCGATTTGAATTTCCAGGCCTTCATCATCTCTTCCGCACACTCTAATTATGCTTCATACCAAAAGGGCATTTTCAACGTAAGGCGATAATGTCGAGGATAACTCTCGATTTAATGCTGGTATAAATCTCAATTCTCAGGAATAACTCCATAGTATTTTAGAGAAAAGCCATCAGACAGTATGGGATAACGAAGAATCTCATCTAGAGGATTACAGATGGCCTAGTTACATATGACTCAATAGTACTTAAAACTGAGCAAAACCTCTCTTCATTCGTTTAAAGTGACCCCAATAGACCAAATCCCTCTGTACTTTTGTTCTAATAAAAAGGCAATATGAATTCAAACTTTTCATTTAAATACATACATAATATGTACCTAAGATTAAGCAAAACTGACCTGATGTGTGGGACTCGAAAAAAAGTATTCGAGTTTTCATGACCGCTTTCAACATAATATGATGCAGGTTGCGGGAAGCGTTAACTGTCATCTGTAAGTTAAGTTAAAAAGTATATAGTAAATGAGTTAAATAGACATTCTACGTCCCCTCTTAAAGAGCAGGGTCTAAGCTGAAACTGGCGCGGATAGAGATGAAGCAGCTTTAAATTAACTTTGAGTGAGAAAATAGATATTGTTTCGTAGTAATTAGTGAGCTGGTCGCACTAGAGACCAATGGAGGATTGCCTTGGAGCGAAGACAGTCGGATCGAGCGTAAAAGTCATCAGCTCACCGACATGCAACCTTAATAAACGCGTGCTAAGTTTTTGTCTGTTCTGTACCACACATCGAAACAGCAATAGACTATGCTTCAAGAAAAAGCGCATAAATATGCTATACGAAGAGAATAAGGGATTGGCTGGAAGCAACTTCTTATGCATAATTTTATCCTGCGCTATTCACCTATTCTATATTCTCTTATCACCCCTTCGCTATCAAAATTTCTTAATAGCATATTTAAGAGTAGTATGTTGTGCCCTTTTGAGCGGTTTTCATGTGACCTCTTCACACCCCATGCTGGCTTTCTTACTTAACCCTCCTACCATTGTACTGGGAACGTTGATCTGAGTCTGCCATATTATTCCTAAATCCATTTCCCAAAAGTCTTATCAGACTCTCCCTCTTGCCCCGTAGGATCCTTCTCCTATCTCCCTGGTTCATGTATTCCCCTTGACGTCTATCACCCTATCTGTACTACTCAAGACATTATTTCCCACACTCTGCCTCGAGCCTTTGATGGGACGAATACTCCCGCCTCGCTGAGTAGGCCGACAAAATCTAGATTCTCAAGTTGGATGGGAGACTAACGTGAGTCTATAGATCCCGAGTAATTTTCACCATCAAGCCTTTGCTTCATGGGCCACGTTTATGATCATACACGTCTACTGTTAGTCAACCAGCTCTATTCTCCGTCACATATATCGTGCTTATTATATCCATAATAGCAAGTCTATGACTTCCTATGCTCTAGTCTTTTGTGTGCCAACCCACAAGCGGTGTGGTCCTACTTGTTTTGCTCATATCATCTCAAATATTTCCTAACTAAAAATGTATCCTCTATTAATTATGCCTATAAGATACAACTTCCTAAAGACTGAGACTGTCTAGCTTATTATCCTAATGGTCTATACCAGCTCACCTCATATTATGAAAAAAACATTTATTTTAAAATGCCCATCCTTCTCTTGTTACTATGATTTGAGGATAAATAGTACAGCCCTATCTGCTTTAATAATCAAAATAAAAAAATAATAATTCTAGTAACATTCTTACTTCTTCGATGAAACATTGCTCTGTTTATGGCGTGTAATTTATAGCTGAAATGGAAGCACAGAAAAATTCCAGTACAAATCCTAGTATCTGTTCACAAAATCTATCGTTAAAGGTGAAGTATGTGATATTATTGGTTTGGCCATACCTAGAGTTGCTAGAACTTGAATGACCCATTGAATTTGGATGTTTCTATACATTGGTACTAGATTGAAATTAAAAAAAATATCATTCTAATTATCAATTTGCTGATCAACTAACCTCACATATTTATGTGAATTCTGTACTAAATAGATCCAATAGACAGCCACTTTGCATAAAAGTGTGCATAAGAAGCGTGAAATCATATGCATTGCGTCTCCTTTATTTTTACGGATAAATTTTTAAAGATACTCCATCTGTATATTTTAGAATACATCAAGCTGACGGTTGTAAATGAATTTATTTTCTATCTCTCTATTTCCCCAATTCAAATACACATTCATAATGCTTCCTTAAGTCTGGTCTTAGAGCCCTCAGTAGCAAATTTCGCTAAACGATTGCTTTCGTTTCATTTAAGTAGATTGTGATTTTTCTACAAAGCATAAACTAACGATAACAACCACTGCACTTAATCGTATTGCTTTTAAGACAAAAATGTGACTACCGTAAAAAGCAGCAAATTCTCATAATTGAGGCTTTTTGACATCATTGGAAATTGCTATTAAGTTCTCCGTAAGCAAGGAAGAACACATGTAAACGAATCTCAGAGCAAGATTTCTAGAAAACATGCCAGAAATGTTAGGCAAATACATAATAAGTGGCATTATCAATAGCATGAATATTATTCTTAACTTGACTTTAATTTATGTGAAAGTACTTTATGGATGGATTCGTAGCTTGCTCTCGCCAGAAGACGAAAGTTGATTCCCGTAGTTATGCCTTCAAATCACTCTATGATGACTTTCAAGTTGATTCAGCCAACGAAAAATTCTCCTTTAGTTCAGATCAAGACGAACCGAGTATGCATTTCTCATGCCATTTGACAAATAATATAAGAGTTAGATCTTATTGTTACAAGAATATCAAAGCAACACTATGTCTAAAAGGCTAACTAGCGTATATACATATATATATATATATGCTCTTCGTTTCGATCTAACTACTCTTATGCTTGAGAGTATGTAGATGAGTATGTAAATGTGCAATCCAGGATATGAAAATACGTATCATAATTGTGAATACCTGTGAAAGACCATCGCATATAGAAAGACATGTTTACGATCGAATAGTTTGCAGAACAGATTTGTGGATGCAATGCGAACGCGATTAATACCAACTTGAGCCGACCAGATAAGTTGCCCTCCTTTTGTATGTGGCTCCAAAACCTCACTTTTCCTAAGTTTATCAATCAATCGCAAATATTACTCCTACCATCCTTCCTTGCATACCAAGTATTGTCTAATATTCTAGCATTGACAGATTATCTTATTCTGCACTTAGCAACGGGCCTATCATGATCGGAAAAGGAATGTGTTGCTACCATTCTATCTCGTTTCTTAGATATACCCTGTGCTCGGACACTTGAGATTACTGGACCCAACAGCCTCTATAAGGCTTTATATATTCCGCTAAGCTTTAACGAAAAGAGCCACAAATATCAGCAACACAAAGGTGATCTCATAAGCACGCATCCTTGTGACAACCAAATTTTTATACTGGGTCAAATTCATCGAAAAATAGACTAACTATAGAGAGCATCAGTGTTTCTTTAAAAACTATTCTTATCCCATCTCTTAACCACTTCGCCTAGCTATTTAGAGGGAAAACAAAACGGCCGAATTAGAATGTCAGAAAATCCTAAGTTGCCTATCGTGTATGAACTAATTTTCGTCAAAAAAATTATTTTACAATAAAAAGATATTATCGAAGATATGAAGACCAGAATGGTGTGGCCTTTTCTATGATCGCGGTCTCCTTTGGTTGTATAAAAGTTGTTTGACCTTGTTTTTGCAACTTAGTCATATTGGCATGAATAGTATGCATGATAATTTCCAGAGTCGGACCGTAGACGTGGTAGATTCCCAGATATTTCGTCGGCATCCTTGTCGGCGTCGTCACTGAGTATTGCCAGTTCTATCATCAAAGAGACAAATAAATTCGATGCTTTGACTAATTGTGTGATAAACAATCCTGGTATCTCTCCTTCCGCGCTGGGCTAATCACCAAACTTATATCCTCATATCACCCCATCACGAAAACAATTTTTACTTGCTTATTTAAATGTGGTATGGTGTGCCCGTTTTTGATATTCCATTTTCTTAGCAACGGTCGTAATTTCTGGTTCAAATCACAGGAAGGCAGGCATATCAACTATTTGTCGTCCTCCCGATTTCTGATCTTATTTTCATAAAATCCTAGCTGAAATTGGCTCTTTATGACCCCTATATTTATTTCTATAAATTCTCTGGGCCACATGTTACTAAGGCAGATGCGAGTCAGTTTCTCCAACTCCTCGTTCCAGAACTCAGTGTCCGTTAGTTTTAAGCTTATGATGATCCTAATCCTGATTATTCCGATCTTCACTCGCACAGCGATAAAGGAATCTGCAGCGTCAAGTTAGATTGTCATGCAAATTGAGAATCCAGACCTTAGGGGCTTACAAAGTGAGGCTGGTGTATACGTGCTATCGAAAACTTAAGGCACGGTGTAGAACATAACACCTTAAGTAGCACAAATACAATGGCAGCGATTGTGTGAAATCACTGAAACAGGCAGATAAGGGAATGATCTTACGGAGCAAGAGGGGACTCTGATAGGACCCGAAGAGAGAGGATTTCAGATTAAGCCATAGCCTTGGATCAACACTCTCGGCACAGTGGGAGGGATGAGGAAACCAGCGGGGAGTGTGTATGGATTTCGAATAGGTCTGGATCAAGAAGTAAGAAATTTTGATATTGGAGGGGTGATACAAGGATATAGGAGAGCTGAATAGGCCAACACGGAAGGAGAGATACCACAACTGTTTAGCACACATTTAGTCAAAGGATCAAACTCATTTGTCTCTTTGACGATTTGTAGTGTGGTGCTAAGCATGGCAAGGCTTACTGAAGATACCGACTACGGTGCTGGTGTAATGTCTGGAAATGTACCAAGTCCACAGTCCGACTCTGGTAATTATTTTGCATACAAAGGAATCCGGATAGTGTGCCTTCCTCTAGGTCTTCCTGCCAATATGACCAAGTTACGAAAACAAGGTCAAACAACTTTTAAAAAGATATTATTTTGAAGTATGACCAAGGAGTAATTGCTGTCAAGATATACGACTCCTTCCTTCCCCTGTGCAATTCAGCATTGATAGCTTTGGAACGAAGTTGTGCTTTCTTATTATTAGTATTCTTGTATTCAACCTTTTACGCGTACACACAAGCCAACAATCACATCCACTCAGGCATAAAGGTACTTGAAGTTATACGAAAAAGGAGAAACCAAATAGCTCTATATCTTCATCTATATCTATACATACATGTTAAGTTTCTTTTTGATTGTTGTTTTAATTATGTGTAACGTGTGAAGTATAGCTGATTGATCTTCTTGACTTAGTTTTGCCTTGGATTTTTTTTGAGAATAAGACCCAGTTCTGATATCTGCCAATTGACATGAGAAACAAACGTCCGGCCTATTTTCGTCGAAATTAAAGCAGCATTTCTCATAGACTGTCAATCTGAACGTCAGCGCCAAATAAAAAAACAAAAGGTTATATAGAAGCTAGACTAACTTTGAAAAATGCGAAGGAGCGTATTACGCTGAAGAAAATCAGCCCCCCAACCAAGCTTGCGTAGATGATTAAACAAGTCTCGTCACCAGGAAAGTTTAGTTTCAGACGGGCTTGTAGTACTTTCCAAGTTTCAAGCTGATCATAACTGGGGCGCCAGCCGTCTGAAGCGTTTGTAGGGTTGGTCGACGAGTCATTGAACTGAGCAGAATTGAGTAGCGCGAGAACCCGACTGCTAAACAAAGCAGGGTCCAGTTGAGCAGAGACAGAAGAGGTATTGGTCAAATTGAGAAATACCTTATATCGATCCCCAGCATGATTTGTCCTGCCAATGAAAAGAGAAGGAATATCGCTATTGGTGATACTTGACATCAAATATCTGTCTGAATTTTCCATTATGAGATTAAAAGTAAGGCATCCTCAGGATCCAAATTTTAAAAACCTTTCATCTAAGTTGAATTTCCAGCATTTTTGCAGCTTAGCCTTGTTCACAGAGAGGCAGCGAATAAAATACTACGTGCTGTGGGATATTCAATTGTAATCAATCATTTTACTAATTTTCCGACAAAGTATCATGGAATATATCTGGTCATTAGGTCAGTGTCTGAAGGAACCATGGCTACATTGACACAGGCCGTAGAAGGAGTTATGTCCTTCAAAAGCATCCCGTAATCCCAAATAAGCTGCCTAAATTCTATATGGCAGAAGAAGGCTGCGATCAAATTAAAGGCCCCATTATCTTGTTCTTAAATTCTGTCATTTAGTTCCTTAGGTACATACATCTCTTTAGACGAGTTCTTATTCAATATCTCTTGCCCTATAAGTGATGGCAAATATAAATTTATCTCATCAACAACCGTCATAATACAAAAAAGAAATGGGATGGGCCTGACTTTCCTTGAAAGTCATAGATATACAGTAATCAATTGGAACCTGTGGTTGTATGACCGCATGATAACGTTGTCATCAGAAATGCAGGACCATTTCTCGAATACTATTAGATATGTAGATGGAAATCTCAGAAGAGGTAAAAATGCAGCCCAGTCTGAATGTGATTGTCTGTCAGGGACAAGGTTGAGTGAAATTTAGCTGCATCATAAGGTCATTGTTACAATTTCAGCTAATGTTCATTGCTTTTCTTTAAACCAAACTTTCACAAAAATTATCAAGCACGAAGTCAAGAATACTGGCTTGATACATCCCTGCGTACAATATACAACTTTA